TGGACTACTCTTGAAACCACTTCCCAACTGTGGGAAATATTTGCGACACCTGTGACTCGCAGAGTTAAAACATGCAAAAGGTTTAGCTTGAGTTCACAGACTGAGGGTGAAATGTGAACATGGCCTGAAGAACCCTGGGTAAATGTGTAAAGAGCAGATGAAGTCCCAAGGGAGTCTGTATCGTTTGAAATAGAGTAGCCACATCAAGGAGCAATGCCTTAGACCCATGGGAAATTGGCAAAGCCTTCTCCGAATGGGTCAGACTCAGGATCAGCAAAGCCCTCCTCTGGTCCAAGTGTGAAGTATGTTCACTAGCCATTCGTCAGTGAACATAAAAACTAGCAACTGCAGCTTCCTCCTCCCCAGGTTTGCCCATAGAGACGTTAACTCCCCCTCCCCGCATGCTGCACATAATAAACATGCCGAGGTTCCAGGCTGCACGGTTGGTGTGACTTCATCACAGCTCTCACAGTCCACCTGCCCCTAGCCTTTAAATCTGTATGTGTGTCTTTGGGTTTCTTCTTTCTTCATTTCTTACCACCCCCAATCAGGTAAAAAGGCTAAGTCATTCAGAACACAGCAAACCCAACCCACGGTTGTGTGCCTGAATGTGTGTGTGTGTGTGTGTGTGTGTGTGTGTGTATGCTACACAGCACTATTACACTATAGTGTGGGTGATTTATGCCTGACATCTGACTCTCATTTAACAATCCTATGAGGACATGGCTTATGTCTACCCAGCAGAGTTCTTTATTCCTGGTGCTCACCTTGGGACCATGCACACAGATGGTGCTCGGATGTTATTTGTTACATGGTTGAGATGCTGGGAGACCAGGGTCCCAACCACCCCTTCAGGACTGGGATGGAAAGAGACAGAAAGGGCAAGTGGAGGGCAAGCACTGTTGTGGTGCTGGGATGGAGGCTTGCTTCCCGTGATGCTGTAAGAGTTCCTGAGAAAGAACGGGACGGAGTTATAGAAGCTGGGGCAGGGGAATCCCAGCTAGGCGTCCAGCCCCTTTCCAAGAATAGATTCTGTAGATTGGTTTCAGAACAACAAAGTCTATCCCCAAGAAAGAGAAACTTATTTCTCAGTAGTAGTGGATCTATTCCTAGTGTTTTTCACACATGTGATGGCCAAGGGAAAGGGGAACTCGGAGATCTCAAGTTTCCACAGACCTGGAACCTGAAACCCAGGAGGAAAGCCGCCTGCAGCCTCCGGTGACAACCAGATCTTGGGGTTTCCAAACTAATTCTCATTTCATTATGACACACTGCCCTTTGATTTGGGGCCACTGTTGGAGGTGAAGAGAAATCATTAGAAAATGTATGTTTCCTGAAATATCACCTGCGATTTATTGCACTCGGAACTTCGCACTGATAAATACCCTCTTTCTCATTAACATGCAGGCGCCCTACAATTAGCACTCTCGTTTGCACTGTGTAAACAGCTTCTCACTGTGTGCCTTTTACCTCTTTGTTCAAACAAAGATCTCTGCTAGCGAAGCAACAAGGAGGAAATCAGTAGCAGGTGAGAGCTTATTTTTAATTATATTGAGATTGACTGTTGTTCTCCAAATCTTCTCTAATTCCCCCAAGATATTTATTTGCAGACCCGAGTTTTCAATCTAGGAAAAGCAGCCATTTCAGAGCTTTATTTATTAAATGAAAACACAAATGGCAGCAGCAGTTTCCTGGCTCCGTGCCAAGGGAGGCAGCATGGGGTAGAGGGTGGGGGTGATGATGTCGGATCCAGCTTTGCTCTGGGAAGCCAGGCGATCACTGGGAAGGGCTGAGCTCAGGAGGTGCTGAAGAGCAAGCTTTCAGCCAGGTGACGGGTTCAGAGTCTCCAAAGCAAAGCTCACTCTGAAATAACTTTCAACTCCTACTGGACTCCTACTGGAGTCAAACTGATTTCATGCTCCTACTGAAGGGTTTTTACTGGTCACCAAGGGTGAGAAATAGTGTCCGCCAAGGATGAATGGACTGGATTATGACATCATGTGGTCAGAACAGGTCAAGACCATCTTTTCTCTGAGGCCAAGAATCTCTTTGGAAACCCTTGCCAATTGACATCCAAACACAAAACCTCTGCACCTGTTAATGTTTTCCACTCTGAAATTTCTCTTCCCTGAATTGACATCGTCTCTCCAGAACTGTTCTCAAGTTGGGGAATTCCTTTCTGGAAAAACAAAGATTTCCTTTCTACATGACATTATGTCATTATATACAGCTAGAGATTGGACCATGTCTCTCGAGCCTGCTTCGGTGTATATGGGCCAAGTTCCTTTAACAGTTTTTGGTGGAGAATATGGTTTCCAGAGCTCTCATGACTCTGGCTGACATCTACTTTTGGATACACGGCAGGTCTGATAGCTCCTTTACAGGGAGATGCAGTATTCCACATGCCACCCATTTCCCGGTGGAGGGCCTCACGGGCCCACTGGTCTCTTGAGTTTGCTGACTTCAGTTACATGCTAGAATAGACTCCTTAATATCCACCGGTTTTATGTAGGAACAGAAAGGCCTCCTACTGAGGGGACTGGTCATTACATACAAAGATATTTTGTAATCATTGAGCTCTTTCCATTGGTTGTTACATAATTTACATTTTACAAAACATGTCATTTTTCAGAAGGCATTTTTGTAATAACCACAAGAGAAAGGCAAGGTTATACCCGCTAACCCATTTGAAAATTGAAGAAGCAGCCCTGTGGAGGTAATGACACCCATTGGCATCCAGATGTAGGCTTCCAACCCTGCTCCCTGAAGCCATGTGTTTGCTACACAACTCGCTCTGTTTAATGGATTTGCTGGAGGCAGGGATGAGGGCAGAGAAACAGTTTCCAGGTCAGTGGATCAAGTTCTGTTTTCAAGTCCAGCATGCCTTTCTTCTTGGCCCCTCGTCATCTGTCAGTTGTCCAAAGAGTCAGGCTGATGGGACCGCTATCATTGCTGTAATCGCCATTTGTAAGCCGACCAGAGAAAGTGGCATGCATTTCAGATGTAAGAGAGATCTTGAATCTGGGTTACTTACATTACACAAACTTTCATCCTGGGCTTAATACCTTTGTTAACTTCTGCCTTCATTACATAATGCCTTTAAAAAAATGCTTAAGGAAAGTAGCCAATAATTGAAAGCGAAACAATTTTACCTAGAAATCTAAACCAGGAAATGTTACTACCAGTTTTCAGTTATTTTGTGTCCAAGGCAAGAATTGAAACACAGCCTGGCTCTCTTTTCCTATCAAAGGGAACCATTAGTAAGAAGCTGCTGACAGAACTGGGGTCTGTCACTGTTGTCATTAGGTGAACACCTCTGAGCAACACAATGACCCAGGAGTCAGTCACAAATGGGGGAGTCATTTAAGGGGCTGGGGTGGGTTCTGAGAATCTGTGCTTTAGAATGCTCTCCAGACTAGTAATTGCCACTTTAGAAAAAGCATCTGGAAAGGCTGTTTGAAATGCAGATAAGGTTTGGTTCTGCCCCAGAGGTCCATGGGCATCCTTGGTCTTCCTGGACTTTGATCAGCATGGTAGCTGGGCAGCTCTCCTACTCCTTTCCAGCTGGGATTCAGTCGTGATGATGGTGGTGATGCTTCCCTTCCACCTGGCAGTGGGAAGTATAATATTCATTTCTCCAAGTAAGAGAATTAACCCTCTTCTTCACCAACTAGTCAGGTCTAGAGGTATGACCCACACCTGCCTTGGGTACAATTTGGCTTTTGATCAGGTGTTTGGGGGCCTTTGCAGTCCGAAGGCCTGGTGCCACCAGGCAAAAGAGAAGTGTTTTCATCCAGGATGATTTTAGAAGAGGGTCTTGTCAATCACGTGTTGACAGAAGAGGCTGAGCGTGGCCCTTGCGGAGCACCGGCTGGAGCAACGCTGCAGCTGTGCACTTCTTCTGCAGGACTCCATGCACCTCTGCATAACTTAGTCAATGCACCTGCTAAGGCTGGCTTTTTTTTTAACATCCTGCATCTGAATGCTGAAGGGTGTCTGCACGTTAGAATTAATGTCAGTTTGAGACATGATAAATATGATTTTAGTGTTTCTTCTGAGACGCTCCGCTGGGTACCATTTTATTGTCTACTGTCTCAAAGGCTTAAATCTCTTTTTGCTGCCTTCAGTTCATACGATGAAAACATGTGAAATCACTGGGATTTATATAGGCAGATTTGGCAGCTCCTTTTTTTTTTTAAACTTGGACTGTCAGATATAAATCAACGTTACAGCACTCTTTCCAAGAAAGTGTTAGAATGTGCATGTGTTGGGGGAGATGACATAGTATTTCTATTATAATTTTGTTTGTTAGGTGTGATTTGAATTGTTTGGTTTTGTTTTGTAACATTCACAATTTGTGGTTATTTAACTAGTTCTCCTCGGCTGCCCTTACCATTGGCTGTCAGATTCTATTTTTGTTTCCTGCCTTTATTCCGGTTCAACCCTCCCACCCATCTTTCAAAACCCAATTTTTGTACTACTCTCTCCAAAAGGCCCCCCCCCACATAGCTCTATAACCATCTTCCCTCAGACTTTCTTAAAATTGACTGCTAGGACCATAGAAATGAACATTTATCATACACTTGATAGTTATTAGCTCTCTGTACCAGTAGAGCACGAGTTGTTCTGTTGTCGTGTTTTTCAGTCTGATTTTGAGGTCATCACGGCAGAGCCCATATTTTGCACATTTGTTAATGCAACTCTGTCCTCGATGGCATGCACCTAGGACTAGACACAGGAGAACAGTCAGAGTATGAATGTACTACTCTGTGTCAGCCTCGATGGCATGCACGTAGGAGGACAGTCAGGGCATGAATGTACTACTTTGTCGTCAGCACTCTCTAGAAAGACCTCTACTTGTAAATGGTCTTCAGGTGCAGTGAGAATCATTTGATCACAGGCTCTACAGAGACAACAGTAATGTATGTCATATTCATCGCTACATCTACACACTTTCTGATTTCTTTTGACTAAATCCAGTCACAGCAGAACACATCTTCTGTGAGCTTGAGCTGTAGAGACAGAAAGGCAGGCGTTTCTGTCAAAGGAGAAGCTTCCAAATTTGAGATGAGCTGGGACCCTCAGAGCCTGTTCCTCCTCCCTGGCACATTCCAGAATGAAAGCAACAAGAGAGGCCTGGAGGGGAGCTGATTCCGTGACTTCACAGGGACAGCATCTTCTTCCTGGAGGAGGGCCCTAATAAAGCTCTTTAATATTCTCGACAATTCTAATCATCCAGATATTCCAGGATCCCAAGGAATTTGAAACCTGGGTATGTTCTCCTCATACCCAGAGCCAAATGTGAACAATTCCAGCTCCCGTATATCTATCTCACCAGACAAGGTAAAGTTCTGGGGGAGAATGCCATGGGCTGAGAAGCTGGTTGGGGGAGATGGGCGGGAAGCTTGCCATACAAGTGTGAAGGCCTGAGTTTGAATTCTAGAACCCACATAAAACTGGGTGGGGCAGCACCCCCACCTGTACTCCTATAACAAGAAGATAGCATGGAGGGGGCGGGTGGAGACAGGAGAATTCCAGGGAGCTCCTGCGCTAAGCAGCCTGCATTACTGCATTAAATAACAAAGAGTCCCTGTCTCAAACAGGGTGAAAGGTGAAGGCTGACACGCCCAAAGGTGTCCTCTAACTTTTACCTGTGTGCTCATGCCCCTGACCCACCAGGAACACACAGAGAAAAATCATGGCGGAGGAGGGGGGAGGGGAATGTCCTAAATATGGAGAGATGCTTTTAAAACAATGAGAGCAGAGCAAAGTCACCATGGAAACAGCTTGCCCTTTAACTTTAGTGGTGTGGAGGTGGGGGAGCGGTGGTGGGAGAAGCAGGAACAAACGGAGTCTAAAGCCGTCCACTCTGAGGTTTGGACAGTTGACTTCTTACAAGGAAATGCGGGACTATCCCTTCACCAACCGCTCAGCCACCCTGGCTTCTCTTTCTGCAGTATACAGTTCCCACCTACTCAGAAGAAGAGTTCTAGAGAACTCCAGCCTGCTGGCCTCCTCTGCTCTCCAACTTCCTTTTGCCTTCTACCAAACAGGGCTTGATCAGGTCAACAGGGCAGCGCCCCTTCAATAAGGAGCCCGTGCTATGGGTGACTGTACCGTATGGGTTCAGCTCCCGAGGGAACCTTCCCAGGGGCCCTGGTGATGAGGGCAGCTGTGATGATTTTATTCCAAGCATATTTAGAAGAAAGCAGCCACAGGAAGGGGGCAGGGTTTGGGGTGGCTCCCCTGGGAAGGAGTTTGGCAAGGGCTTGTGGCTTCTTGGATTGTCGTTTTATGCATCCTGCCCAAGGTCTACCAGAGGTGTGGGAGCAGTGGAGGGCGGCAGGCAACAGCAAGGAGGCCGGGGAAGGTTTCTTGGGACAGCTGTGGGGTTTACTCTGAGAAGGAACAGGTTTCAGGCAAGTCAGTCAGAAACTGAAGGAGATATGGTCTTCACTAGGAAGCCCCCACCCTCCACCATGCCACCAAAGGTTGGGAATAAACTGCTTAGAGCAGTGGATTTCAACCCCTTGGTAACCTCCATCTCAAAAACTATCTACAATACAACACATAACCATAGCAAAATTACAGTTATGAAGTAGCAGCAGGGTGATTTTATGGTTGGGGGTCATTGCCACGTGAGGAACTGTGTTAAAGGGTCGCAGCACGAGGAAGGTTGAGAGCCACTGAATTAAAGGGCATTATTTCAATGAGGATTCCCGGGGAGGGGGGATTTACTCCAGCTCACAGTACTGATGAAATTCACCAAAGGGTCCCAATCCCTGACCTGTGAGATACTCTCAAAACCCTCTTTGTCTTCAAACACCCAAAGGCCACCATGGAGGAGGGGCGTCAGATCTCTTCCTTAGTCCTTACAAAGGTGTGCTGAGGACTGATGAGGGCAGATCTGGGCTCAGTAACATGAACTGCCTACAGTTTAATGTGTTCAGAGCCGGCCTCAGAGTGTTGTATATCACCCATTCCTAGAAATTTTAGAAGAAGGAGAGTGGACACCCACTAGTGACATTGGGGGAGGAAAGTCTCTCTGGCAAGTAACGAGAGGAAAGCTTAAAGTGTTCTCTTTCATCTATGGTTTCTTCTGCAAAAGCTTAACAAGGTCATGATAAGATACAGCAGATCTGCCCCACTTGAAGTATCACTCCCTTTCAAAACTGAGAGATTGGGCCAGGTGCCTTCTGAGGTCTGGTGGGCTCTGGCATTCTGAACTTCGGCTAAGAATCCAGGTAATTTGCCTCTCGAGTTTCTTGGAGCACTCCCAGATGATGTGCCATGCTCTTTGTGCAGCCTAGAGAGAGAGCATTCAATGTTGCTTCACATGACCTTGAGTGTTCAGACCAAAAGTCATGGAGATTTTCTTGAATGTTTCACATCCTAGACTGGTCTTCGTGCTCCAGAGGTCTCAGGATGAGGCTTGGTAAACTCTATTGCATTGGACAGAAAGATAGACGAGGCTGTAGGGAGGAAGGTTACAACCCGCTGTGCTCTGACCATGCTAGGATTTCCATCCTCATCATATATACACACCACTAAGGGGAAGTTACAGGATGGCCACACCTGGGATTGAAGGGGGGGGAAGAGTGGGTACCAGGTGCTGGCGGAGTACAAAGGCTGTGGTGGTATATTGTTTATGATTTATTAAAGCTTGCCTCAGGATCTAGAAGGCAAAGTCAGCCACAAGCTGGTGATAGTAGTACACTTAATCCTACCACTTGGGGGGTAGAGGTAGACAGATCTCTGTGAGTTCAAGGACACCATGGCCTACAAAAGAGTGAAAAGTAACAGAGCTCATACCTGTAATCCCAGCTGCCAGAAGCCAGGAGGTGGTGGTACACACCTTTAATACTAGGACTCAGGATTAAAAGGTAGGTGGATCTCTGTGAGTTCAAGGCCACCCAGATCTACACAAGATTGATAAGTCCTAAAGAGAAACACAAAGATGATCTCAGCACCTGGGATCACAACCCTTTAATCCCAGCACTAAAGGGTATAAAAGATAAGAGTAGGATCTTCAGCGGTCAGTGTCAGGGATTCATTCCCCAGCCACATTGACGATAGGAAGACATTCAGTCTCAGGATTCTCCAGCTTCTCTGAGGAGAGGCAGCAGTCCGAGGTTTGGTGGAGCTAGGATCACCTTTCATTCTGAGGCAGAGTGAGAGTGAATGCCTGGCTGCTTTGCTTTTCTTATGGGAATTAAATGAGTCATTTCAAGGTACTTGAGACAGCATTTGTAGGAAACTTCCATTTCTATAAAATGGGGATTGTGTGGCCCACTTACAGCATGGGGGGCACATTAAATTAAATAAGGTAACATGAAACCTAGAACAACCTCAGGTATCTTCCCATTCTCTCCATTATCAATAATCTGACCTAAGATTCGTTTGTCCCTTGAGAGTTTCTGTAGCCTACTGCTGATAGTATTGACACAATACCAATCACTGTTACTACACATGCATATGTGTTCAGTCTATATATAATATACATTGGCTGTGTACGAAGTATGTGCATATTCATGTGTACCATGAGTGTACTATTTTAAGCTATTTATTTATTTATGTGTGTATGTCTGTGTGCGTGCATACACACGTGTACACCCAAGGAGGAGAGAAGTGGGCTTCTGGTCCCCTAGGGTTGGAGTCACAGGCAGATGTGAGCTTCCCAGCATGGATATTGGAACTCAACTCTAGTCTTCTGCAAGAGCAGCATGCCTCTTGGCAGCTGAGCCATCTCGCCAGCGTCTCTGCGAGAGAGGGGCTACTTGTTATTAATTTTTCGATCACTGGCTCATGACTCCATCCCAGGCACAGCTGATAAGCAGGACAGAGAGCAGCTGTGAACACGGGCTCCTGGGAGAGGCAAGCTGGGGTCTGTTCCTCTGTCTGCCTCATGGCAACTCCCATGTGGACAGACGACTTTCCCTAGCCGCGGACAATGTCCGCTACAGAAGGCTGGCTGAGGAGTGCTCAAGCTGATTGAATAGAAAACGTGGGGACATGATCATGGTATCAACTCCATAAATTTTACCTGGCAGTGAGAGTTTGTAGACATTTGCTAACTTTCACGGTTATCTTAGGAACACACGGTTTTCAGTGTTCCATTCCAGCTCCTGTTTGGGTTTGATTCTATATGACTATGATAGTTGCTGGATACTTGGTAACTTGACAGTGGTATATGACATTTGTTAGCCTTTCTGATGATCCTAGAACACACAGATGTCACTGCTCTGGTTCTGTATCGCTTGTGTTTGATTTTGTGCTTGTTGAAAAGAAGGTCCCACTCTATAGTCAGGGCTGGACTGGAACTCACTGTGTAGCCCAGGCTGGCCTCTAAGCCACTGCAGTTCTCCCAATTCAGTCTCCTGTGTCTTGGAACTTGAGGAGGAACCACCGTGCCTGCTGATGCTCTTAAACACTTTAGCTCCTTTATTCCTTAAAGATTTGTGCTGTGGGTGGACGTGATGGAGGATTTTCCCATTTTCAGAGACTGACCTTCAACTGCTTCCAGAAAGTCCAGACTCAAGTGGGAAGCTCTGAGAAGCAGGTCCAGGAGAGGAGATCCTTCCTCTGTTTCCAATAACAAATCAGATGGGCTGCGCCACTGATAAAGAAACAGCCTTTCCTATCACGCCTTTGTTGAAATTGAAGAAACGAAATGAACACTGACGGAGATGGATGATGTCACTCTCTCATCTGCTGTCCCCAAATACCACTTCCTCTTGGTGATGGCATGTGGAGCCAGCACGGAGATGCAGCTCCATCCCTCACGGAGGGACTGTTGGCTCTCAGCTGTTCACGTGGGAGAGCATCATACCTGGGGCAAGTGGACACAGTGTTAGGAACTCCAGAAGACACTGACAAAAGGCCTAGTTAATATATAACACCCACCACATTGCCACTGCATACAGACAGCTCAGTTAAAATTACATACGTATATATGGTTGAGGCCAATTTTTTTGGCTAGGAAATATTTGTCCCTATGTAACCCAGATTGGTTTTAAACTTTCTATGCATTCCAGGCTAGTCTGGAACGTGTGATCCTCCTGCTGCAGCCTCCAAGTACTGAGATCACATGTGTATATGGCCCAACCTAGCTCATAGATGCTGTGGAAAGTCAAGAGGCCATGGGGTGGGGTGTAAAGATTTATTTGATTTAAGAATATTGTCAGGAACACTTAGAATTGAAGGGGAAGACAGAAGTATTGCTAAGTCATTAAAATCTGTAAAGTGGTGCATAATTAAGCCAGGGAAGGGTCACCAAGGAGTCATGAGACTTTGTGAAGGGGGGGATTTTAGGTGGAGAGAATCAACACTCTTTAGTGAAACCAGCGTGTCTAAGCTTACCTGTACAACTGTGCTCATTGTAGCATTGTTCACAATACTCAAGATATGGAACCAACCTATGGATCATCTACCCGTGGGTAAAGACAGTGTGGCATGTGTTCATGGTAGGGTACTATACAGCCTTAAAAAAGGAGGGAGTCTGGTCATTTGCAGTCCTGGACCACCCACAACTGGAACCTACCATGTTAAGAGAAGTAAGTTGGGCATAGAATAACAAACACCACATGATCTTACACATGGAATCTAAAAACTCGCAGAAACAGAACAAAGTGGTTACCTGAAGCAGGAATGAGGTCGAGGAGAGCTAAGATCCGTGCATTGTGGTGGCTCCAGCCAGTGGACTATATCTTGAATGCTGGCAAGAGTGTGGGTGTGAAGTGTACCCACCACAAAAGGAGATGAGCGTGTGAGGTGATTTGTATACTGATGAGTTCATTTTAGCCGTTCCAAAACGCATTAACATGTCAGAATGCCATAATGTGCACCACAAATATATACGCTGTTAACTGTCAGTTAAATTCCATTATTGCTATGTGCGACACATCAAGCTGTAGACTTGACCAACACTTGTTTCTTCTGTTAAAAGTGCAACTGAGAACAAAGCTACCTTTTACAGCTGCTGGTTTGGACCGTCGACTATCTCCCCTACGTTCAGGTAAAGCCACAGTCAAGACGAAGAGCAGATTCAAGACCAGCTTCTTCTCCATTGGAAATAGGGAGGGGCAGCTTTAGAATGGAGCATGACAATTTTCAATAGATGACAGAAAGGGGAGCAGAAGGGACAGAAGGCTCTGCATCCTGAGGAAAGGACAGTGTGTCACCAGAGTGCTTCCTGGCAATACATTCACGATACAGTCAGCCAGGCGATCTCAGAAGTGGAGGGGAAAGGCGGCTGCCGCGGGCTGAGGGGCCCAGGGAGAAGCTAGCGGGGGACACAGAACTTTGGTGAAGTAGGAGACATATGGTGGGTTATTCGTATGTGCGCGCGTGCGCGCGTGTGTGTGCGCGCGTGCGTGTGTGGTGTGTGTGTACATGTGCAGGTGTGTACGTGTGTGTGCACATGTGCGTGTGTATGTGTGCGGGTGTGTGTATGTGTGTGCGTGTGTGCTAACACAGCCTGTGCTGGCCTCACATTTGCCATGTAGCTGAAGGTGACTTTGAGCTGCTGAGCCTACGTGTGTGTGTGTGTGTGTGTGTGTGTGTGTACATGTGCAGGTGTGTGTGTGTGTGCGTGTGTGTGCCCGTGTGCGTGTGCGCTCGTGTGCGTGTGTGCTAACACAGCCTGTGCTGGCCTCACATTTGCCATGTAGCTGAAGGTGGCTCTGAGCCGCAGAGCCCCGGCCTCCACATCCAGAGTTGTGGGTTATCATCGGATGCCACTGTGCCTGGCGTGTTTGAGTTCGTTTTGAGCTCTATTACTTTGTGGTGAATATGGCAACCCTGAAAACTCTACATTTCCATGTCATTGGTCAGTCTGAAGTGTTACCCACTCCACCTCAACATACCCCAGTGTTTCAGGTGATGGGTTAGCTGGATTTAATCACTCCACAATGTATACGTCACTTTGTACCTTATAAATATGCACAACTGTAACTCATCTCCACGTAACAGACATGCCACGATGCTAGAACTTCACTTTTCTCTCCTGCCCCATCCGTAGCATCCACTATTCATGAACAGCGACAGCAAAAAGAGCAAGCACACTTTCTCTGAAGCAGACCCTGGACCAATCATGAGGAGACTCAGATGCTGAACACAACAAAACCAAACCCAGCCAAACCATGGGAGCACAAAGAATCTCCATGAAATGTGTGAACAGTTCACAGCTACCCACTGAATCACGGTCACTGTCTTTAAAGGGGAATGCAAAGACTGAGGGGGGGGATCTTTATGTCTCTGAACTGGGATTCCAAAAGGAGGGGAGGGGAGGGGAGAGGGGAGGGGAGGAGAGGGGAGAGGGGAGGGGAGGGAAGGAGAGGAGAGAAGGGAGGGGAGGAGAGAAGGGAGGGGAGGAGAGAAGGGAGGGGAGGAGAGAAGGGAGGGGAGGAGAGGGGACAGGGGAGGGGAGGGGAGAAGGGAGGGAAGGAGGGGGAGAAGGGGAGGGGAGGAGAGAAGGGAGGAGAGGGGAGAGGAGAGGGGAGGGGAGGAGCGGGGAGAGGGGAAGGGAGAGGAGGAGACGAGAGAAGGGAAGGGGAGGGGAAGAGAAGGGAGAGGGGAGGGGAGGAGAGGAGAGGGGAGGACTTGAATTGGTTGTGTGTATCTCTCCCAGGTGGTCAGGTGACTGTGCCATGGAACCACAGACTGGAAGCTCTTAAAGGCTTTGCCTGCAGATGGAGGGGAAACCGTGGGTCGTGATTGTTTAGCTAGATATAAACAGCGATGATAAGCCCTGACTGGTAAATTCTGGACAAGGGCCAATGGATTCATTGGAGCCTAATTCAAGCATTTTGGTAGCTTGATGATCATTGCTTCCCCTCCCTTCTGGGTTCGTAATAAACCAACTGCATATAAAACTAGGTTGCTTCTTTCCAGCTTCTAGTAATCCCTATGCTTTTACATGACACAGAAAAGCTTTGAGTTCAAATCCCACCTCTGATACCAACCCCGCCTCCGTCACTGTGGACAAGCACTAGCCTCTCTAAGCCTGAACTTTCTTGGTGGTGAAATGAGGAAGTCGGACAAAGATGCGTTTTCCTTCATCAGTTTTGATTGCATTTCTTACCATTGACCTCACCCTTGGAAAGCTCACTTAATGTATGTTACACAACGCTCAGCTTTCCCTGGGGAGTTTCACTTATCTGAGCTGTTCTCCATTTCTGGTCAGAACCTCTGTTCACGGTGAAGTGTGCTGGGATAATGTGGCCACCAGCTAAACAGAAGCAGCACCCAGAGTCACCTCAGGGATCTCTGGATTGATCACGAAAGGTTGGGGAGAGCTGGTGGGACCAAAGTGCCCAAAGAACAAGTAGGTATTGGCTTAGATGCCCGAGGTCCACTGGGCAGCCCCACAGTCTCGGCCGACTGGTCTCTGAGATGCATCTCATCCTCTGGATGAAGATAATCCTGGGATGAAATCTGCCCTGATTATCAAGGCCTTTCTCTAGGAATTAAATTAAACAATACGTTTGGGAATCTGCCCAGAACCATGCCACCTGGTAGACAGTAGCTATCCCTAACAGTACGAGTTCAGTTCCACAAGGTTGGTACTGTTTGATTACAACCTGCAGGCCCTCAGACAGGAATCCCAGCCGTCACCTTCACCCATGCCATGCCCTGCTGTTTCCTGTACTCACAATGAGTCCTTGGAAATAAAATGAAAACAGACCGACCTGACCGTCTTCCAGGGGTGTTCCAGTGTCGTCACCACTGTGTGGTCCCAAAGAAAACCCATTTGGCCTCCCCTCATCTCCACCATTGGAAACACTAATTATTTCTGTCTCTGGACTCACCTGTCCTGGATAGAGCATGTAAATGGAATCCTACTGGATGTGACCTTTTGTCTGTGGCTTCTTTCCCTTAGCATAATAATCTACAAGCCTCACCCGTGTATCCATGTTGTTGTCTGTTTCAGAACTTCATTCATTTTTTATAGCTAAATAGTATTCCGCTGTATGTATATACCACAGAGCTGCGGTTAACCCTCATGAACTATTACTTAGAGTCTCTAATGACTTCTGTTATTCACAATTAATATCATGTCAGGATTCAACAGCTGACCTCAGATTAAGTCCTCTTGCTCAAATAAGATTTTTCTAGACTGGAGGGGGATTTAAAATATTTTTTCCAAACCGTCAAGGAGCTAAATTTCCATAACAGAGCTGAATTCTACTTCTGAGAGACTAACAACAAGCCAGCAAAGCACGTGACACATAAAGAGGCTGTGTGGGGGTGGGGCTGTGTGGGGGTGTGGGTGTGGGGCTGTGTGTGGGGGCTGTGTGTGGGGGTGGGCTGGGGGTGTGGGTGTGCTGTGTGTGGGTGTGTGGGTGGGGCTGTGTGTGGGTGGGGCTGTGTGTGGGTGTGTGGGTGGGGCTGTGTGTGGGTGTGTGGGTGGGGCTGTGTGGGTGGGGCTGTGTGTGGGTGGGGCTGTTGTGTGTGGGTGACTGTGTGGGTGTGTGGGTGGGGCTGTGTGTGGGTGGGGCTGTGTGTGGGTGGGGCTGTGTGTGGGTGGGGCTGTGTGTGGGTGTGTGGGTGGGGCTGTGTGTGGGTGGGGCTGTGTGTGGGTGTGGCTGTGTGGGGTGGGGCTGTGTGGGGGTGGGGCTGTGTGGGGGGCTGTGTGGGTGGGGCTGTGTGTGTGGGGGGCTGTGTGGGGGGGGGCTGTGTGTGGGTGTGTGGGTGGGGCTGTGTGTGGGTGGGGCTGTGTGTGGGTGTGGGGTGGGGCTGTGTGTGGGGGGGCTGTGTGTGGGGGGCTGTGTGTGGGTGTGTGGGTGGGTGTGGGGGTGGGGCTGTGTGTGGGTGTGTGGGTGGGGCTGTGTGTGTGTGGGGCTGTGTGTGTGTGGGGCTGTGTGTGGGTGGGGCTGTGTGTGGGTGGGGCTGTGTGTGGGTGTGTGGCAGGTGTGTGTGTGTGGCAGGTGTGTGGGTGTGTGTGGCAGGTGTGTGGGTGGTGCAGATGTGTGGGTGTGTGTGGGGGGCAGGTGTGTGTGTGTGGCAGGTGTGTGTGTGTGGCAGGTGTGTGTGTGTGGCAGGTGTGTGGGTGTGTGTGGCAGGTGTGTGGGTGGTGCAGATGTGTGGGTGTGTGTGGGGGCAGGTGTGTGGGTGTGGGGGGGGCAGGTGTGTGGGTGGGGCAGGTGTGTGGGTGGTGCAGATGTGTGGGTGTGTGTGGGGCAGGTGTGTGGGTGGGGCAGGTGTGTGGGTGTGTGTGGGGCAGGTGTGTGGGTGGGTGGGTGGAGCAGGTGTGGAAGGAGCACGGAGTTCAGAAGGAGACACTGCAGTGGGAGCCAGGGGTGAGCTCCAGCAGGAGGTGACCTGCAGCCGGGTGCCTGAAGGCATGAGGAAGGGAGCCCTGGAGCTGGCTTTGCCTGTGTAGAATTCCTGGCTAGTCTAAAGCCAAAGTCCCATGATGTCTTTAAATTATGAAACAGTAATGTAGAGAGACAAGGATTCTCTCAAGTTTTCTTTTCCAAAAGCCTAAGCCCAGACCTGGGGAGATCGATGAGCAGGTAAGAGCTCTTTCTGAGCAAGCATGAGAACCTGAGTTCAAATCATCGGGACCGCCACAAAAAGTCGGGTTTGACAACACACGTCTGTGACCCCAGCACTAACTGAGGCAGAGAGAGGAGGATGAGGAGGCTGCTGGCTGCTGGCCTAGCTCCAGGTGCAGTGAGACCTCGTCAACAAGATAAGGCAGAAGGTGACGGAACAGGACACCTATGTCCTCCCCTGCCTTCCTTGCACACACATACACACACATGCCATGTGCATTGACACATACAGTACACACACACGCACATGTGTACACACAAAGAGGAAGCCTACGTTTTTGCTGTGTTCATACTAATCTAGAGCACAGCTTTTTACTTGGCTTCTGGCCTTGTCACAAAATGCCCCCCACTTTTATCAAAACTCCAGAAAATTAGTTACCTCTTTTCATAGTTTATCTTCTGCCTATGAAATACTAATAATAACCCTGTGGATTTCACTCCTCTTATGACACCCTCTCTGTTCAACAAGCTCGGGTTTGTGCATCACCTAGGACTCTTCCCAGTAGCTGGTGGTTAAGCTGATCTCCAGAAGGCTTACTTTTCTTCTCTCTGAGGTAAAAACCCCTTTGCATGTTGCTTAAGGGCAGGAAACAGGAAGTGCTCTCTGCTTCTGGTCCTGTTTACTTAGTTAAAGAAGGAAGTGGGATGGTGCTCTGTGGGGCTGGAAGACGTCTCGTCTCCACCGATACTGGTCGACTGTGTCTCTCCTTGATGTCTGTTTTAAGAACCTGGTGGATTTTCCTGGGCGTGTTTTGTTTCGCCCTTGCAGAGTCTCCCGTAGCTGGCTGCTTCTCCCTCTTCTTTCTGGTGTCTTCTTCAGAGTCCTGTACTGGCCTTGCTTTTGCCTTCTCCCCCATATTGGTTACTTTGTTTATTATTGTGATAAAATCACAATAATGAAAGCAGTCAAGGATGTTCCAGAGGACAGTCCATCGCTGTGGGGAAGGCATGGTGACGGGCGTGAGGCTGCTCTCCACATCACATCTGCTGTCAGGAAACAGAGAGTGATGAAGGTGACAGGCGTGAGGAGGCTGCTCTCCACATCGCATCCGCTGTCAGGAAACAGAGAGTGATGAATGTTGGTGCTCGGGTCACCTTTCTCATTTTTATTCAATCCAGAACCCCAGCTCATGGAATGTGCCACCACGGTTAGGGTGAGCCTCCCATCTCAAATAAACTCTATAAGCCTTCCATCTCTAGAAACTTCCTTTGAATCATGCCCAGAAATTTGTTCCACAAGTGACTCTAAATTCTATCAAGTTGACAATATTAGCCATAGCATTTCCCCAGCTCGGTCACTAAACTCTTCCTGCCAACTTCATTTTTGTTCATAACACCTAGCCCTGTGACAATCCATCCTCAAGTCCTAGGTCACTGTTTTCAGTAAGCCCCAACACTGAGGATATTAAGTCTATGTATCTCTCTGATTGGCTTGCCCCTCCCATCTTAAAATGTATATGTGTATTTTCCTGCATGTATGCTATGTTTCCTGCATGTTTTGGAACTGAAGTTACAGATGGTTTTGAGCCATTGTGTGGGTGCTGGGAATCAAACCTGTGTCCTACAGAAGAGAAGTAAGCTCTTTCAACCACGGAGCCATCTCTTAAGCCCTGACCCTACTTCTTTATGTTTATGAAATAGGCAATCATCTTAATACTCAGTTTAGATAGTTGGGCATTTTTGTTAGAATGGGAAACAAAAACAAGACATTAGTTTCATTATTAATGCCAACACATAGGGTAACATTGCTTAAATTTAAAGATCCCAGTTTTAAAATTGGGAGACAATATAAAAATGGCCAAAATTGTGGATGAATGTGTTTCACAATTCAGAGTGTGTCAGAGTTCAAAAAGGTAACATGTGACAGATAATATAAACACACACACACACACACACACACACACACATACACACACATAATCTAGGATCTCAGAAACCATCCCCAAACAAACACATGATGGGGATGTCTTTCTGTATGCTGTGAATATATGTTTCTCTTGCTGGTTGATAAATAAAGCTGTTTTGGCCAATGGACAGGCAGGATGTATCAAGGCAGGAAGTGTAGGCAGGGCTACAAGAGTAGGAGACTCCTGGGAAGAAGAATGAAGAGATTAATTCGCAGGAGAGCCTTCCTGTAGCTACCGGAAAGATAGGACACCCAGGCATTCTCTGGTAAGCCAATGCCTTGTGGAAATACATAGATTAATAGAAATGGGTTAATAATTAAGAGAGAGCTTGCCAATAAGGAACCTTTGCTATTGGCCAAACAGTTTATAATTAATATAAGCCTCTGTGTGTTTATTTGGAACTAAATGGCCATGGGACCAGACAGGACAGAAACTTTCATTTACAGTCTACAAACACAGTAACATTTCTTCAGTATACTGTGTCAGTATTCAAACAAACAGAAAACCACAAAGCTTTATAATTGGGTTAGTTCACTCAGACACCCAGAACTTTAGTGTTTCAGAGTTTCTTTCTGTGTTTGTTTGTTTGTTACGGGCAATGTATTATGG